TTGGTTCATATTCTTTGTTTATAAATATGAGTAAAATATTATTTATTGCTTAGAATGCATCTATATATTTCATGGGGAAGTCTTTGGAACTTTTTCACCTAAGTTTAGCTACTTTAAACGATAGAGTCAAACATTCTCCTCATTAAGTTATAGGAAGCTTATTCAATATGGCTTGGATCGCTCAAGGATCTTATGGTAGCTATTGTTTTACCGATTGTTTCTAATAATCTTGATACATTCCCTAATTACATTTCAGACTTATAGTCCTTTAGTGATATATCAAAACTCGTTCGAATGTAAATTTAATCGATACATGGAAAATATTTTTCATTTTATAAGTAGGTTTTAGAGACTACCTTGAGGCCTACTCATACAATTGTAAGAAAATTCAACTACTAGCCCTTCATCACATTAAATTTAATAGTTTGGATACATCTCTTATATGAAAAAACATTGAGTGTAACAAATAGGGTAAATGATGATGGAATTATCCCACATTACTTCTCCTATTATTCTCCAACTATTAGTTGATTTATGTCATTTCAGCTCAGCGTCACACTCTTCCCTTTCGAAGTATCTACCATGAACCCGTCGCTGTGTCTTATACCATCCCTAGCCCGGCCTTCGATGTCATGGATCTTGGTTTTACATCCACGCGACAGCCTTCTTCGGCGCCATTTTCTATAGCCAGCACAGCAGCCAGTGACACTTTAGCGGTTGCCAGCGCCGCCAGTGTTCTCATTGCCACCGCAAATATTGGTGGAGGAGGGCTTGGTAGTAGTGCTCGAGCCCTTGCTTCCAGCTGTACAGCCCAGAATGGCTCAGATTTAAAAGTGATATGTTCCAAAGAATCGCCGGACGGGTTTGTGCTATCCTCTAACACGGTGGAGGCGATGCTGGTTAAAAATGATCAATCGTCCCCTATGCATCCATCCTCGGAGTCTCCAGTCTCTCTTGCCGGAACTCCAGAGCCCAGCCGAGTCACTCCAGTCTGGTGGGGCCGTAATAAGCATCCAGTCGAGGCAGTTATGTCTGCCATAGGAACTGAGTTTTCTAGCCTAACATTAAGTGACTCCCAACTGAAAAGGCATAATCATCAACGGAGGCAAGAAAAACAGCCTCCTCAGCAGTCAATTCGAGCAACCGAGGTTCTGGATGGTAGGAGCACAGGTATGCAGGTTAGTAAATTATATTTGCTGTATAGACTTTAATACTACTTATTGAGGCCTTTTAGACTTTTTCACTAAAACTGTATTATACTAATGATGTCTTTTATGCTGTCAACTTCAATAGAAGACCGAGATTTTAGTGAGGATTAAGCTACACCTCCAAACGGTTTATGCTCCATTCTATGACCAGAATTGATCTTTGCTATCTCTAGGCTATGGTTATTTGCTCCTGTTCTATAAAAGTCAGACTTATGCTTTGGTTTAATTTTCCTGTGGATGTGCAGAGTGAGCAACTAGTTAAATGCTATATATATCATGCACATATAGGAGTCATTATTAAATCACAAACTTTTTTCGCTGGTGAACTGTGAGATCCACTTAATTTTTTCTAAAGAGACTATTATAATAATGTAAATACAGATAGCAATTTATATTCTAAAAAATACCAATGAGATAAAATACAAGGAATGATCTTAGTCTTTTTTCATCCATCCACAAAGTTATGCTCACAATTGCCGCATGTTATGCGGTAAACTCTCGAGCAATCCAGTTTGTCAGCCTTCTCATGTTGTGTCGGCAAACTGGAGAAGGTTGTTGTCTTGAACTTAGTCAAAAATTAACACCGTTACTAAGAAAATGTATACCAGGTGATCCAGAAGGAGAAAACAGCACCCCTTACTAGATAGCTTGCGCAACATGAGAAGATTGATAAACTGGATTGCTCGGGAGTTTATCACATAGCATGCGACAATTGTGAGCAGAATTACATGGATGAAACAGAAAGAAAATCAACCTACGAACTTAGGAACATCAAAAACGGCGGAAATATGGATATAGAAAGATCCGAAATAACGGGATATGAAATCGACAAAAGGTTGGCCGCATAGGGTAAAAATACAAGAAAGCACAATGTTTGAGAGGCATCGGCATCCTGACTGGAAGAAAGCTAACGAACAAAATACTTGAAGGAGGCAGAACTAACGAAAACTGTGCATATTGCTTAAGCAAACTCATAGAAGATCAGGGAACAGCAAGATCAGCGAAAAAGGATGACGAGCTCAAGGAAATATTTTGAACATGAGCAAAATAAATTGCAAGTACGAGGCCACAGAGGTAAAATCAGAAACCAAGAATAGAACGTCTGCAGGGAATCTAATCAAAGCAAGTTACGCAACTACAGCACTTAAGGGTTGAAGCATAAGAATCTATAGCGTATGAATCTTGGTATTAGGGATATAAGCGCTAGAGACCAGAGTTAGTTGGCTCGTAATATACGCGTTTTACTATATACGTGATCCGTGAAGTAAAGGCTCGACCATGAGATATACCCTAGGTGCACATTCCGGAGAGTGATAAGGGAAACTGCAGCGTCAATTTAGTTTTCCATCCAGCTTGAGAATACAATATTTGTGGGCTTGCTCAGTAAAGCTGGAGTATACGAGCTATCAAACGCTTGAGAAAGTGTAGGATATAACGCCGCGAGTAGCACCTATATGTTGGCAGTGATTAGATGAAATCACTGAACCAAAGAAATAAGAAACGGATAATGAGGGGCAAACGGAAGATTCTGATAGAACCAGGATGAAGAGGATTGCAGAGTATAGGGGCAGACCCGGATCAACTCTCTCAACACTGGTGGGATGATGGAACCAATGCAGAATGTGCATCGTTCTCACTACGTCCTCTCAAAAAGGACATACCTGAACTAGGTATAAATAAACAAGTAAGAAATAGTGATATTGAAGGGTGGATAAGAAGATATAGTGTAGGCAAATGCATTAGGACAGAAGGAGAGATACCACAAATTTTCAGAAGTCAGTTGGTCAAAGGTTCGGCTTCATTTGTCTATTTGGCGAGTTGTAGTGTAGTGCTAAGACGACTGCCAAGGCTGATTGACGATGCGGATTACAATGCTATCGAAGCGTATGAGAATCTACCAACTCCATGGCCTGACGCTGAAAATTATCATGGATGCTATGGACTCCGGACAAAGTGCGTTCATCTAATTCTTCCTGGCAAATACGATCAAGTTGCAAATACTAGATTTAAACACTTCTTGATTTACGCTAGTTACCGAATCCACAAAACTGCCCTTCCCTTGCTTTGAATCTTAAACCAGCCATATCCTTATCCTTGGAGCAAATAGAATATATAAACAATTAACTTCGATATGATTATAAATTTATTTATATTTTATATTTATATGTGCGTTAAATTTGTTTGTAATTTTTTT